GAATTCGAGTTTCTATTAACAATAAAAAAAAACAAATGAAAGATGATAATCAATGAAATATACAGTATATTTTCACTCACGTTAAATAACGAAGTCGATGACGAATGAAGTACGAATGAATAGTTGCACTATTTATATAAGAAATGGTAAGAATAAGAGAAAGAGAGAGAGAGAAAAGAAACCCTATATCCTTTTTTGTACGATCAAATACGAGAGAAAACAAGAGACGAACAACCTTTCAGAGAACAATCAATGGCATAGGGTAAGTAAGCTAAGCATGTGTATTCTATTGAGAGAATCAATGGTTGCTAAGTAATGTAATGTTCTTGCTATAGGGAAGCGCGAACAAAACTAACAGACATATTTACAAGATGGCAGCATGTTCTAAGAAAGGCTATGTTTGATGAAAATAAAAAAATAATAAAAAGAAAAAATGTCACTATAGCATGTTTTGAATTTAAAGAAGTATATGTTAATATATATTCAAATATCTAAAAACTGATTCATTTTTATCAAAGAGATTTCCTATAACTATATTTTTGATAATGGCTTCTTGTTAAAGTTATTGACAAGAAATTTTATTTAGTTTGTTCAAATTTTTAGGTATAAGATTTTAATATAGTTTTTTTTCGTCATATTGAAAAGTTGTGTTGTTCGATTCATGTAACTACGCATATTGTTTTCTTCGAAAAATAATCAAATGCTTTAAGTATGATGTTTTCGTAAAATAAAAAATAGGCTTCTAGAGATTAAGTAAAGAAGAAAATATTGTTTTTGGAATATCATCAAGAGAAAAGAAATGAAAATCAAATCATGACAAGAAATAACTTGCTGTGTTTAGATCCAAATATTAGCACGTTTTTTTACGCATGTACATGCCTTCTATATAGCAAATTTGATTACAAGTTATTTCTAGAATTTTCATCGCATATTATGATAATAGTCAAATTGTTAAATACTGCGAAATTCAGTTGTCATCTGAAAATTCTGTTAGTTTTGCTTATTGTATATTCGCTTTCAGTTATTGAAACTAAATGTAAGTCAAATGATCGGATGAAAGAAATTCATCGATCTCATTTTTTTTATACAAATATTCATTCTCTCTGTCATTTGATTTATTGTTATGAAGAATAGATAAATTATTCTTCAGAATCATTGTTTCAATACATAATTAATTTCACACATACTTTACACGAGTCCCAAATATTGGAATATATTTACATATTCATCAATAAATTTTAAGTCTTTGATAGCTTAGTAAACAAAATCTTTATGGTAGAAGTATGATAAGAGCAAAATAAGTGATCGTAAAAACAATGAACACTCACCTATAGTTTTTGTTTTAGTCTTCACAGATATGTTTTTCTATAAAGATGACTTTCTTTATTGTTATACGAAATAGAAGTCATGCAAACAATACTGAAACATGTTCAAGTGAGAAGATATTAATAAAAGCTCAAAATAGACTAATAATTTAAATAAACATATAGACGCAATCAAAACAAGAAACAATGTTGTTTTTCTAAACAGAAGTGGATGAGTCTAAGTTATTAGTTGGACTGAAAAGTTGGACGCCGTTTGTAACGATTATTGACCGTTATGCTTCACTTCTCTTCTCATTCTTCATAGTGATGACCTTGACGATGTGTACTTTTCTTTCTCTTTTCTTGTATGACCAGTATAGAAGCTTGCACTTGTACAGGTATAGGTATGACTGGAGTGATGAAATTATTCAATAAATATCTTTACTGAAAGTAGAGATAGAGCTACTTCTCAAGTTCATTATATCGTCGACTCAAGCCATACCTAAAAAAAGGAAAAAGCTGTTAATTCAACATAGAAATCAATTTCAGACTACTTTGATGATTTTCTAAAAGAAGAAAATTTAACCAGTGATCTTATTTTATAAAAAATAAGGAATTTATACCAATTTTTTAATAATAAACTTGCTAAAAATATCATATATGATTCTGCTACATCAGCACCAGTTGAATGTGTGCTTAGTCAAAGCAATCTTTCAATGAGATCAAACCGTTCAAAATTTTCACAAATTAATAGTTGCATTTGAATATCTTTGAAGTACAATAAGGCATTAACTTAATGCTAATCAATACTTTTTGCTTGTAAACAACTTTATGTTTTGTTTTTTTATTTATGAAACTTTATGTTTTTCTTTACTATCTTGTGAAACTGTAATAGAATGGAAAATGATGATAGAATTTCTAAAATAGGAAACAATATTGAATTGTAGAGAAGACGATCCACTCACGTTACAAAATAACATATAGACATTAATTTATAAGAATACAAATAACATTCAAATTTTGCTTTTATTGGATCTTTTTTCTTCAAATTATTAAGTTAAATATTATCAGACGTGAAAATTATTATAGCAAGCAATCTATTTTTATAGATTTAATCGTTGAAAAATGCAATTTAGTTTTGTACGGATAGTAATATAATATTGTCAAACGACAAAGATGAATCGAATGCAAACTTTTCGTATAGGACATCGATGTCCTTTGTATTTGAGCAGAGCCTATAATTGATGTGAACTGATATTGTGAACAATTTTCAATGTATCCATGACGGTAATAATGAATCAGTCAATAACATTAACAATGATAAAGACAAATAATAATAAAAAGAGTACTACTAGCCTATTAAAGAAATATTGTTACTCATGATTATCGAATATTATAAAGACTTTTAAATTACATAACGTTCCATAATTTTTTTTTCTTTTTGTTATACTGCCACAGTGAATTTCTTATTATTCATTTTCATTTTTTGCTTAATAAAATATGGCTACTAATTTTTTGAATTGGGCTTTTTCCTGTCGTGACATGTATAGATGAGGCATGAATTAAGTAAATATATGAAGTAAACATATTTTTTCTTGATTAAAAATATTTATTTACACAATCAAATTCATTAAACAATAAAATATTAGGCACAGAAATGCAATTTTTATGTATTAATAAAATCTTATTCTTTTGACGAGATAATATAATAGATAAGTCAAAGAAAAGTTCTTTGATCGCTTTGAATACAATATGATCTACGTGACTAATTCTTATCTAATAAAAAATGATAGAAAACTTGAAATCTAATACATGCAATTTAATTGTAAGCAAAAGTTTAGGTAAAATAAGCTTAGTAAAGTAATCAGTGATAATAATGCAGTTTCAAATAATTCTTCAATAAGAGTTTGGAATTTTCGACTCTTTTTTTCACTGCCCTTGTCATCAAAATCATGATTATTCAAAGAACTTTTACAATGATCGAACCTAGTCATATTGCTTGGATCTAGATTACGACAGCGTCTATGTGTTGAGAACGATGTGTGTACGATCGTCATTTATTATTGTACTTATACAAGTTTCTAGGTAATGATGAGAAAGATGATTTTCTCTTTCCATCTGTCATAAATAATAAAAAAATCATTAATATAAAATAATAATCATATTTCATTTTGTTGTCGAATTCGTCCTATGTAAAAAGTAAGGAGGAAAATTATTTATATTAAATAACAATTACATTTCGTTATGATGTCCATATTGATTTAAATAAAGAAGTTAATTTTTATAAAGGTATATAATCTGTTGAAGTTTGTTAGAAAACCGCTAATCAATCGTAAGTGCCCAAATAATTATTTGTTAATTGTGATCAATGATCAAAACTGAAGCGATTTTGATGACATAAATAGGTATTGTCATTATCATCAGCACTAAAGATATCACTCAAATATGTCGGTATTATTACAATATTGCTATTAATCAAGTTTTCTCTAGAATTTATTCATTGCTATTATTGTAGAATTATATACTTGCATAAATAATTTACATTTAGAGACATTCATTTACACCTTAGTTAGAATTAGGCTCATTGGTACATACTTACGTTTAATGATTAATTTTTTTTATATAGCTCGGTGTTCAACTGTTATTATTTGCTTTTTTTTTTGAATAAATAGAAACTTAAGGTTATAAGTGATATCATTATAGCTGATAGTGAACATACTAAATAAAATAATCTGAAAATTCCAAACTTATTAGAAAATTACATTAGTTGGATTGTAAGAATTACTATTTTTTTGTACTATTAGAATGCTATTATCCAAGTATTTTTTAAATAAATTTATTTGATCAATATGTATCAATTAAACAAAATATTGAGCTTTCAACAAAATTCTTTTTATTAATGCAATAAACAATTCTATTGTGAAAACATGATTTCAAAAGAGTATTGAAGCATATTGGGTAGAAATTTGCATTCACCTTTTGCACAGATTGTGATGGTGATGGATTAAGTAATAGGATGGTGAAGAAAAGTGTTCCAAAATAGACAGAACTAAACAACCTCTCTGCTGTTAGCAACAGCAATTACATTGTATTTCACAATTTAATCTCATAGAGATTACGCTAAGAGCTTTCAATCAAGTTAAAACTTTGAACTATCTTCATATGATTGTGCCACACTTGAGCAAAAGTTGACAAAAAAAAAATATTCGCAAAATATAGAAAGCGATATGATGATTCTGTGATATATGACAAAATTGATTGACATTCATCTAGCAGCTATGTAGTATATTTTTGATAACATATGAAAACCATATTGGATTGAAAACAGTCATATCTTTCAGCATGATGCAGTGCATTTATGAAGATTTTGATAGAATTTTTACTCACGAGAGGACAAACAAAAATGTTTTTCGACAAGATATTCAAAGATAAATTAAAGTTTTTTTTAAAACTATTAGAATAAATATCTATGCATTTCTCATTGTTTACACCTATCACTAGCAATGCATTAGCTATGATGAAGAAAGTTCTACATTTAATAAATTTGTCAGTATCAAAGTGTAAAAATTCACTAAGAGTCGATAACATATTTCATATTGAATAGATTCAATAGATTTTTTTTTATAGATAAACATTTTAAGTTCAATTCCAATTTATTTGTGTTTTTCAAGATACAAATATTTAGATGTAAATCTATTATTCTAATGTTACTTGTGAACGAGAAACAGGAAAAAAATAATTAATAAGATCAGAATAAATGTTAGATAGATAAAGTTTCAATTGTAGATATATTGAAAGAACAAGTTTAATAAAAGTTTGACGAAATAAAGCTCCAGTAAGTGTATAAATGTAAAAAGGAATACTATTTCCGACGTATGTAAGAGAGAAATCCAGATTAATAATAAAATTGTCTATAGCGTTACGAAATGGACTTCGGGTTATGTGAATAGTAAGCGTCAAATAAAGCTGATGTATAGCTTGTGGCAACGAAAGAAAAGTTAAGAGAATAACTTGAAGAAGAAGCATACCAGTGAGAGAACCTTTATTATATCGTATTCTTCTTCGTTTCATCTTATTTGAGCAATTCATAGGCATAACCGTACCAATAAATGGTTTAATTGTTCGACGAGATTGATTTATATTATGAATAGTTAAAAACCCAAAGATTAACATTAATAATGATGGAATAATGACAGTTGAACTTGCATATACAACATCATTAAAAATTCGACATGCCGCTGTCATTCCATAACATTTAAGAGGAGCTTGAGGAAGGTTAGTATTATAACAAAAAACAGATTGTGCCCATAAAAGAAATGATAAAATATGGACAATAATAATGCTTTTATGTGCAGTTCGACGAGAACTTAAAAATCGTCTTGTAACTCGAGTATTACTTACAAGCCATCGATCAATAGTAGCAAGTACAATAAGCCAAACTGATGTTGTACGAAATCCATAGAGAAGAAAAATACGTAATTTACAAAGTAAAGAATTTGTATTCGTCGGATCAGTTGATATCCATCCATCTATGAGGCGTGTTGGAAGACCAACTAGAATGATTCCAAGACTAGACACAGATGAACCGAGAAAGTAAAGAACACATGGATTAGAACGTAGTTTTGCTTGTGAAAGTACTAATGTATTTAATGAATTTCCAATAATACCAAATAAAAAAACAAATAATGTCATATAACGATTAACTTGTGAAGAAATATTATTGATTAAAATTATGTTAGAAGAATCCGTTACGTTCGACATGAGTTAAATAATGAATGTTAGAGAGAAAAACACACTCATATATATATACACATTATTCTCTTTCTAATAAGCAAGAAGTACTTAACTTTGATGTTCTAAACTTAGTGCGTGTCATTATCACGTGCCGTCTGTATATGAATTCGAAATCAATTATTTCTAGCTAGATTAAATTTAATGTATTCATGGATGAAAGCACCTTTGCCAATGCACGTTGTTTATCAATAAATGATGATTGCTTTTGCTTTTAATCGTTTTCGGAGAAGAAAACCTTGATAAAAAGAAACTATTTTAGAATTATATGAAAATGAAAAATTCTCTTCTTAATAATCAAACTTGTCTATCGATCAATTTGAGATATATAATCCGATTGGAAGTATTCGTATATGATCTGGATTCGTGAAATAGCAGAAATCACGATGAAGATGAATTCAAGTAGTCAGAGAATATTTTAAATACAATCATTGATATTCATCATGGAAAAGATCAGGTGAATCTTATAATCCTTAGAAGCAAATGTCTTTAAATCTAAAAGTATGGATAAAAAACATGATAGAAAAATAACTGGAAGAAAAGCTGACATTGCTATCTATGATTTTTATAATCTTCTTAAGGCAATCATTCTAAAAGCTCGTAGTGACTTATCAATTACATGACTTTTTAGCATTTTACTTCATACTCTGTCATCTTCTTTTATAATTCATATGTTTGCTAGTAATCAGTCATCGTTTTTCTTACTATTCTCCTTTGCTATTTAAAGCTAGCGATATCATTATAGCATTTTTGCCGTTTATAACACTTACGGTATGTCTGTCTCCAAAATTTGATATAATGTTTAGTTTTTAAACTTAAATGACTTGAAAATTATCGGAATTGTCCGATATATGTTATCTCAATGTGATCAGAGAAGGTAACATTCTGAAAGTTTGAACGTAATATAAACGAATTTATTAATTTGAAAATTTTTTTTTATTGAAAATACACTTTTCAATAAGAACCAAACTCTTTACATATGTAATGAATTCTTTCATACAAACTTCTGATAGCATTGCTAGAAAAAAAGAGTGTTTCAAAAAATAGAAAGACAACGAAAAAGTTTTGGCTACAATTTTTTTTGTACTCAGCAACCTTAAAACTCTTCTTTTTAGATTTAACAACAACATACTTGACATGAAAAATGCATACACTTAGGAAAGAATATCCTAAAATAAACTTAAGAATCTTGATGTAATTAATTAAATTTGTAGTGATAAGTATCACAAAAAAAGTAGTTCTTGTCCTGTTCTGCAATATCCTTCTTCTCTCTAGTTTTCGAAATACTCATAATGTTTTATTATTTTTAAAATATTATTGGAGTTCTGATATGATTTGCTTTTATACTTTTGTTATGAAGAGGACCTCTGTAGATTATGGATACGTAAATCATTCTGAAAGCTTTTTCAAGATGAAAAATTCAGCATATATCATTCATTTCATTCTTTGTAAGAAAAAGAACTGCAATATGGAACTTCATTCATATTTTAAACATAATGACGTCAAAGTCCTTTTTTTAGCAAATGAATCCAATTGAATATATTCTCTTGTTTTTTTTGTTAATTAACAATAACCGAGAGAAAAAGACTTTCGTATTACACTTAATAAAATTATTTTGTTTAATAAAAATTTATTATTAACGTTTGGAATACATTAAACAAAAAGGAAAAGAACTTCCTATAAGAAATAGTCTTTATCTCAATTCATAGCTTCACTTAAAACTATATATAGATGGGATCACTGAATTTAAGACTAGTATCTAAATATGATGCCTGCCAAATATAATTGCATATATATATATATACTTTTTTTGTAAATGTTGATCGGGGATGAGATCAGTTTACGCTTTCTTTGGAATCGATTACATCGGAAAGTGAACAAACAAGATTCTTGGAAAATATAATCCTATGATATTATGTGCTTGGAAAGAAACACTCACCTGTTACTTGAGACCTAGTCTCAAGATAAGATAAAGTATTATTGACGAGTAACAACCTGTAATATGTCTACATGCGTTTTCAGTACATTATGAGTATGTTCAAAGATGAATCAAAAATATTAATTCAACTATATGTCATTGTTTTAAATTTTCATTAAAAGATTAATAGCAAAATGCATTTATGAATTTCTTTAATGTATTAATCAATGATAAGCAAAAAAAAATTGTTTTTCATTGCTAAATAAAAAATATTTACCAAGAATTTTGTCTGTTAAATTACGTTAGGAATCATTAGTCTAGTCTTAATAAAATGATTTTTTTGGATATATTCGTTTGCATAGTAGTTCATGCATTTACGAAATACGTAATTCT